TCACATTTATCATTAGGTTCTGGTTCCCTATAATTTGGTGAACAGCTTCTTACAGTACTGGGCAGGGGAATGATTAGATGATTATTTTTAACAGATGGTAATGATTTGAACGCCTTGTAAAAGAGACTGTCAGGATATTTGTTTCACTTATTTATATCAGCCTTGAGAGTGATGTGAAGGCATCTTATCTTTATATTCAAGTGAGCAGACATCAAAAGGAGGAGATTCAAGGTATAAGACATGAAGAAGAAAGAAAGATAAAAAAGAACATTTTGGGAAGAAACAGACAGTGAAGACAACAGTTGAAGGGGACATGTACCGACACATGAAACGAGTTGATCTGATGGAATGGTATCTGTGAATAGGTAAATGTAGAATAAAAAGATTGTGGCTTCTTAATAGCACTAAGAAAAGCTTAATCTCTAAACCACATAAACACAAAGAGATTAAATCTCAAATCATGTGTGAGCTGTGCTCTCTCCAAAAACTAAAAATAAACAAAAGCAAGAAACAAAACCAAACGCAACCCAAACTGAAAACCCCAATTGCAGTTTTAACCCCCCCCCCCCCATTCTGTTCCCTTCTGCCCATCTGTCTGTCATCATCATCATCTGTTCATCCCACAGAGATAATTGTGTAACTGTGTAACTTTGGTTCTACACAATGCGCTGCCCCACCCCAACCCCCCCCCCACCCCCCCGGATGGCTAAATTATGTACTTATACTGCGGTTTGTGTGTCTTGGGGTGTGTGTGAATGTAGCCTGGTCTAGTTTAGCATTGTAAATCTTGGTTCGTTGGCGTTCGTAGCTAACATGGCATCTCGCCATGGTAGAGAAAGGGCACCTTAGGACTCTTCAGCAAGCAGTCGGTCACGCAGGGATGTGCAGATGTGTGTGCATGCACATCCATACACACAGCTGCTGATTGCTGCACCCAAAAACCAGCGACCCAAAAACCCATTAACATATCACATTTGTGATTTCAAACCAGGATCTGTTGTGTCCAGTGGAGCTGGGAAATCATTCACAATCCACTCATCAGGAATATAATTACTGTTAATTATAAAACTACTTAAAGAATTACATGGTAACAAAATTTTAAAAAAAATTTAATGCCGCAAGGCTTTTGATTTTAACCAGCCTTTGTCCATTGTGGCTGCCCAGAGTTACACTTTGTGCTTTGGTGTATTCACGCAGGAAGACACACGCACACATTTACAGTCACACACGCTTCACAAACATACACACATCTCCAGGACAACACCCTGAATTAGTCATGTTGTTGTAGTCAGGCAACCTAACCCTTCTGAATCGTTCTCATTATGGGAGCCCATCAGCCCGTTATTGTTGGAAAACTGTTAGCCTTATCAGTCACAGTGCCTACTGTAATCTTGTTTTAAAGTAATGTATGAAGGAGACAGCACTGACCTTTACATTTTATTAGCATTACACAAGCTGCTTCTGAGCTCACAGCTCTGGCCTTCTCCTGTTAGTCTCACACTAGTGAGGAGACTGCAGCTTTTTTGCTGAGGCACTAGAGAAGTCTGGACTCTGCCCTTCAGCAATACTCTCACTAAGGACATTGTCCTCATTACAATGGATATCTATTGATCAAAGACCCTCAAGAGGTTTGAAGGAGACAATAGAGGAGCATTTCAAACAGTCACCATATTGACCTTAATTGACCCCTAGGCCACAGGGCCACAACATCCCAGCTGGCTGTTCAGTCAAAAAGACCATGCGGATGATCAGACACTGTGTGGACACGCTTTTCTATTGGTTCCTGCAACGTGTGGGACAGATCAGTCGTGGTACAGTGCAGCCTATCAGCATCAGGCAGCAGGTGCAGTGGGGAGGGATGTGCAGCACTCTGCACCAAACTGAGGGCTGGGCCTCTGCAGAGGCCACACACATCCAACTCCTGAACTACCTTCCACAAGCACCTTCTTCTTCTCTTTCACTGCACACGCCTCACTAGTGCCAATATGAAAGCACACGCTGTTCTAGAAACCTTTATATCAGGATATGAGGTAATTAGTAAGTCTAATCAAAGTCTTAGAGGAAACTCAACACTGACAGGAGCTTCTCCTCAGTCTTGCTGCATTCAGATCAGCATAACCACACCCCTCGCCATGACCTTCTGACAAAACCTCAGTGCTGCTACGGCACCTTCATCTTTCTTTAATCCCCCATCTCTCCTGGTGTATTAGCCCACCTACACTACACCTCGCCAACCTCTCCACCACCACTACGTTCACCCTTCAGTCAATGTCCTGTGAAGATCATCCACCCAACCCCTTCCCGCCTCTCCCTATCCCATCTGTCTCCTGTCGTCCTGATAACCAATCCCACAAAGCGCAGCAAGAGGAAACAGGAGCCATGGTAATATGAGCCTCAGGTCATTATCCTGTAACAGGATATACAGCCAGGCTGCCCTCCCCCTCCACATGCCTCCTCCCTCACTTTAAATCCCTCTCTCTTTCTCTCTCTCTCTCTCTACACCTGCAGACCAGTCAGTACTTATCTGCCCTTCCTCTCTCTCTCTCTCTGTCCCTCTTGCTCTCTCAGCAGTGGCACCCTTCCCCCCATCAGTGTCACGTGTCTGAAGGTGAAAACCAGCAGTCCATGCATGGTGTGCAGCCCTTCATCACATAGTCTCATCAGCACCAGCATCCTACAGTCTCATCAGCATCAGCCACTACTACGTAGAGCTGCATCAATGCAGAGAGCAGAACAAGAGAAGGTGAAGGGGTGTACGTCTATTTCTTTAGAGATGCTCCATTCGTCTCTGTGCCCTGTTGTCTCTCTAATATCCCTGACGATGCAGCTTTGCTCTATAGCATCACTGCTGTCTCTATAACCCGGTACTTTCTGCGTGGCTCCTCCTGGCCACCTATCAGAGCTCTTTACAGGGAATTTCCACACCAGAGGCCCCGCCCCCGGTTTGACGCAGAAGGCACGTCGCAAGCGGTGCCCACTGCGGCCTTGGGAAAGGACAGCTGGCAGTGCCATCGCACAGTGCGCCAGTGCGAAATTTGCGGAAGACAGACAGACACAGGGGGAGGGGGAGGGGGAGGGGGTGGCTGGAGGGAGAAAGAAAGAAATTTTCGGTAGTGTAGTCGACCGGCGACGCATGATAACATGATACCCCGTACACTCATCCATCCACCTCTCCATCCTTTTATCCATCCTCCTTTTCCCCTTCAGGGTCACCTCAGAGCGCACAGAGTGAAAAGCAAGGAAACACCCTTTGACAGGTCGCCAGGGATGCTCATATTCTTTTTTTTTATAATATCATGTCTGGGCAGCCGTGGCATCCGTGGCATCTTCCGAAATGACACCACTTCGCTTCAGAATCTCAACCTCATGCTGTTTAACCAAAATTTCCACACAGCTGCAGCGCCGACATGTGTAAGCACTTTTTTTTGCCATCCCATCCCTTTTGACGCAGTGCCCACTAATGTTCCTGTGTTGGCTTTCACATCTAAATGAATACCCTGACACGGAGCAGAGGCTCTCTCCACCCTCGAAACCTACATCTTGAGCCGGCAGAGAGATGTCAGATGCTGCAGTGGCAACATCAGCTCGTGTCACTGCGTTGACACCGGTTTGCGTTGCTTAGAGGGCGGCCGCTGTCTTTCTGCACCGCATGGTCCTCTCTGCAGCGTCATGCCACCGCATCGTTAAGCAGACAGACCGAGGGAGAGATTAAAAATTGCGACTCCTTTCGCAAGATGGTGATCGAATAAAAAATTGCGCAATAGCCCAAACCGGCAGTCGCATCATCACCTTGGCATTTTACAGTGGCGCTGTGTTATTCCAGCATCCTCCACTGATTCATTTGCACAGCTAATAAGTTGATCTAGATAACTGGGGACAGATCAGATGCTTTTAATGGTTTAACGGTTCGGCACTCTCTAAAGTCAAACTTAACTCTAACGAGCACGTCGTCGTGCTCCTGGTGCACTGAACGCATCGTTTTTTTAATCTGTAGTGTGTGTGAATGTGTTCACTGTTGGCGATTATCGAGTGCCTGTTATGTCACAAATTAAAGGGGAAATAAGCTGGTGAGGCGCTTACTCCCGGTAACCGCATTATGACGCATGGGTCATCGAGGGTGCCGAGGATGAGACTCCTCCGCTGGTAGCGTCCGCTTTAAGGACGCGATGGACTCCGCCAGATGCTGCTCCTGTGTGGCACCAGACCGGAGAGAGGGGCAGTGCCAGCGGGGGTTTAAAACCGGACAGGATAGGAGGGGGTGGGGGGGGGTGGGGGGAGCAGGGGGCAGCGAGGGCATGAAGGAGGTCACAGTACACTGTGTTCATTAATCACTGGGAAAGTCATAATTCCCAACTATGTACTTTTATACCTTCAAATATAATAAAAACTCATATTTTAAACCACAGGTTAATGATGGGTGAACAGCATAGGTTTCTAAAATGTACCCCCCCCCCCTCCCCCCTCTGTCCCTCTCTCCCACACGAGAGCTCTCTGTAGGAATAAACCGATTAGGCCTACCACGGCTGGCAAGGTTATCTAGTCAAAATAAGGCCTATCAGAGAGACACTGACAACCTTTAAACCACAGCAGACTTTCTTTACTTTTGAGACTTTCGTTCATATTTCATCTCGGGACCTATTTAAGTTGAACGAGCAAATCAGAGCAAAAGACATTAGCCAATAATATTCTATTCCTGTCGAAACCAGGCTAAAGTCAAATCAGATGAGCTGTTAAATGCCATTGCTGTCTATGGCTGCATTAGACAGAAGCTACTGGCTACATCAATTTGTCGCAGTCTAGGGGAGCAGGGTAAAACACAGTTCCGCATTAGAGTCAATGTCACTCAGAGAAACCAGATTTCCATAAAGGAAAAAAAATGACATCACGTCTCGTTTTGAAGCCTTTCCGCGTCAAGAGCGAGATATCAGGCTACCTCTCACTTCTCAGGCCATTTCAGGTGGGCTACAATGCAGTAAAAAAGTTGGAATCGTCAGTCTTACCCCCATGTTGGCGCAGTCACTCTTCTCCTCTCAGGTGATGCACAGCTTGAGAGGTGTCAGCCCCTCACGTTGAATTAGATATCAAAATGCCTTGCCTTTGAAAACAAAAGAGGATATGCTCAGTTTTTTCGGGGTTGCTTAGCCTAAATGAAAAATGAGCAGGAAAAAGACGTCAGGGAAGATGTCTATGTGTCTGACAAAATAGTGTTCTTGGGATTAAATAAATTGTCTCTCAAACCTTCAAAAAGGTTAGGCTACAGTCGTTCTCCTCCGTGAGACGTCTTTCAAATGAAATGTTGCGGTCTCAAGCGGAGCATCACGCGGGGATGCGCTTCCTTCCTTTGCTCTCTGATACTTGCGGTGAAAGACCGGCGAAACTAACGTGCCGCACTGCTACCTTTTCAGCACTTGGTGTCCATCCGCGGCTCTGCCTGCTGCCGCAGTACTCCGTTCCTCTTGCTGCACCACTCCGCCAGTGGAAGAAGCGCCGCCTCGAGCAAATGACTGAACCGAGGGGCCAACTACACCCGCCTACCCCTCAGACAGACGGCCAATCATAATTCGGAGCGTCTCATCGCTGATGGGATCGCTGGCCAATCGGTTTAAGCTCACTCTTGAAGCGAGCCAATAGAAAGCCATTTCTGCCCCTCCTGCATTACTGCAGATTTCCGAGGCTTGCAGCCAGCAACGTCGCGAGTCTCTAGGCTGAAATTTTGTATAAATGGACGCACAAGGTTAGATTCTAGTTGTCGTGATTGTGTTTGTTCATTATGTAATGTATTCATGTAACATAAACTAGTGGATTTGTGTGCATTATCGCATGTTATAAGCACCCCTGGATGTCTCATCAGTCGTGTTGGTCCTGTCATGAGCATGTTGTGCACCTCAATATGTCACTTCACAAGTGGGCCTGGGCGCAGCAGACAGAGGTGACAGCAATAAAGTCATAGTGTGTGAGTGTGTGTGGGTGGGGTGAAAATAGTGTGTGTCTGTGTGTGAGAGAAAAATGCAGATAGAAAGGAGTATGGTGAAGCCAGACTCATATGTGATCCTATCCTTTCACATTTAAGTCATCACAGTGTCATTGCACATCAGGGGCACCAGCTGCAGAAAACAGCCTGCAACCTGACTGCCTATATCAGCAGGTGTACAGTTTTGACAATGCAGGGTCAGCGATTTAGCTGAGGTGGAGAGACTTGCACTCCGCAACAAAGGTGAAATTGGGTGTACCCAAGTGGAAGTAAAATAAGGAATCAAACCTGGCTTGTTACAGCACCATATTTTCTCAGTTAACGCTCAACAGTCTCTGGAGCTGTAACTTTGCCTGACATTTATGTGGACAGTTGTAAAAAGAAATGTAATCTGCTGTTGACAGCTGTAACTATCCATACTAAGAGGGGAATTAAGTAGTTGAACAGATCAGGCTGCATCCTTTAAACCCTGGACAGACAGAAAGAGAGTGGCACAAAAATGACAGAGAAGAGACAGGAAGGGAGGCATGCCAAGGGCAAGAACAGTGTAGTTACAGAGAACAAAATATGAGGACATGGAAGAAAAGGGATAGGTGGACAGACTATGTTTCAGAAACAGCGCCAATGAGATTCAAAGACAGAGAGCCTCAAAGAGTAATAGACAGAGGACATGAGAGAGCAAGAGGAAGCTGGCCCATATGCAGCAGTGAGATGCCATTGCAGGCCTTTGGTCACGTTTTTCCTCTGTACTTTTCACTGAAGAGACGATGCAGCAGCTAGACTACACACACAGAGTCACTAACTTGCATACACACACACACACACACACACACACACACACACACACACACACTCATGCACAAATGCATGCATATAAAGCCCTGCCTATTTTGCAAGGGAAAGCTGAGAGTCATGCGTGCTGTCCCTGCAGCAGATTGTGGCCATGCCTCACTGCCTTCCTCGCTGTGGGCCCAGACGATGACCACACAGCACCATAAAGCCCCAGAGCATCAGAATAGGGTCAGCTCAGGGTTAGAGGATAGTCAACTACAACACTCTTCAAACATGCTGATATGGTGCAGTTGGTTTTATTATTGATGCTATCTGAAATAGAGCAGATGACTAACTAATGGCAAGAATTTCATTTTGCAGTGAGTAATTATTTTGTTTGTAGTAATTTTGTAGTTTCTGTAACCTTCTTGAATCACCAGATGGACAGGGTAAAGCTTCAAGTACACATTCTGTTGCAAATCCCACTCATACAGCACTCGCAGGATGTTAAATGTTGACACTTACATTACTGTTTGACCCGGGTCTGGTTTCAAAAAACTGTTTGCACCATTTGTATATTGGCAAGCTACTGCAAGTGAATTCAAATGAATATTGGTTGTTAATCTTTTACTAATCACTCATTTGTCTGTGGGAGGCTAGCACTATGAAGAAATATTACTGCTAACACAGACATGAATATGCATACACATGTAATACAGTGTATGTATTGAGAGATCAGACTTTTGTCTTTTAGTCTTTGAGGCCATTTTCTAAAAGAGTAATGAACATCTTGTTTTAAAAGCATAGTAAAAAGCTGAAGCAAAAAAAAGGTGGCTTCCTATATTCTGGCTGTGTCATGCAGTACAAGAAGATAATTATACCTTTTTCTTTTCTCTTTCAAGGTTCTAATAATACAAAATAATACAAAATCCCAAAAATATCGGGATGGATGTTGGGATTAAAGCTATACAAGGGATGCACTAAAAAACAGAAACACTAATGAAAGTCTGTAGCCTTTCAGGGTCTTGGTTTAGTCAGTCTTAAGCCTGCAATATAATCATAAATCCCACTGAATCTCTTAAAAAGATTTCTGCACATCAGACGTGTTGAGACATGTATACCATGTAGGCAATGGACAGTAAGCACTAAAAGAATTTGATCCTGAAACCCACCATGCTGTCCATGAGGGTGACTTTGTCACTGTGCTGCTGTTAATAAAGCTCTATTCAATCTCATTTCAACCAAAATGGCTGCCACTAGTAGGCTATCCTTTCTTAACCTCTGTCATACCTTCATGTTCTCTCGCTCCTTCCTGCCCCCCACCACCCCACAACTCCATGCCTTGCAGCACAAGAAAGGAGGGGGGGAGGGAAAAATCCCCGAATTCTCCGTCTCCACAGCAACAGCAGTCAGATGACCTTGTCTCTGACTTGTTCTGCTGAGTCAGAAATTGAGGGATGGGTGAGGGGGATGCAGGGAGGAAAGAACAGGAGGGAGAAAGACAAGAGACGGAGAGAGAGATGACACAGAGAGAACGCTGTTATTCTTACTGTTCATTCTAACTGATTCTGTCTCTGTGGTTGCTGATCATGAAGACAGTGCTGTGTAATGCTAATTTACATGAAGCTGATTTGTGTGTCTTGGAGAGAAGCCGAACACACGGGACTCAGCCAAGATTGAGATTTTGAAAAGACGTTGAGATGCTCTGTGTGAGTCAGAGCTGCAGATGAATATCGTATGTCATGAGGTTTTAGTGTCATAGGTCATGTGTGTAGGATTTAGGAAAATATGTGTGAGTCAGACTAAAATAGCACGTGTATGAGTGCGGTATGTGTTAGTGTATCCATGTATACGTAGACATCATGATCATCATCAAAGTATGTGGCAACCAAAACATTTCATTTGTATGTGATTGCTGGATATCTAATTCCAAACCCATGGTCATTAATATGCTGATATAACAGTCTCTACTCCTCTGGGAAGGTTTTGGAACCTGGCTGCAGGGATTTGTTCCCATTCAGCCTCAAAAGCTCTTGTGAGGTTGTGGGCGCTGATGATGAGCGACAAGGCCAGGCTTGCAGTCGACATTTTAGGTCCTCTCAAAGTTGTCGGATGAGTTTAGAGTCACGGCTCTTTGCAGGCAAGTCAAATTATTCCAACAAACTCCAAAGAAAACATTTCTTTATGAGCACAGGGACACTGAGTTAAATTTCTCTTAAGATTTAAACTATAAAAAACAGTCCCAAAAGTGTGTAAAAAAGGGTGTTCACATACTTTTGGCCATGTTGTCTATTTTTGGACAGTTAAAATAAGGCTTCGTGTGGGTAGTCGTTTGTAGTTGTGCGCATGTGTATGTGCGTGTGTGAAGGTGATCCGAGCTAATCCGGTTTTATAAATGACATAATCTGTGTTCCACTCACAGTGTCCAGAACAGGGAGAAGGGAGCAAAAGAGGCAGAGACAGACAGACAGGACTGGAGAGGAGAGGAAAGAGGGAAAGAGAGCGACAGGAACAAAAAGAGGGCTGAGATCACAGGGGATGGATCATGGAAAGACACATAGGTTAGGGTTGGGAGGACGAGGGAGGGACGGAGGGGAAGAAGAGGACAAGAAATGAGTAAGAGAGATGAAGGAGGAAAGAGGCAGGTGGGTGGTGGAAAATTCCTCTGGGATTTAGTCTGGAAAGAGTGACACAGGACTATCAATGAAGGTTCAGTTATCATGAAATGGCAGAAGTGTGGTAAAGGACAAAGGAGAAGAAAGGAGAGGTGGGGTAGGCCAGAGTCTGTAATCAGAAATCTGATAAAGAAGGCAGAAAAGGCAGAGGAGAAAACAGGAATGTGCCAATATAATGGACTGTGGGTTTGTGTGGAATCAAAATCCACTCATGTGTGCACGTGTAAGTGAAAACACAGGCACATGACTGGCTAGAAACAGAGAAAGAGAAAAGGAGACTTATATTGATTTGTTCTATCAGTGTTTGCTTGGAGAAAAGGCAGACAACTATGTCAAACGTGTCAGGAACATGTCACAGCCTGAGGAAAAACAAGAGGAACAACACATGAATGTGTACAGAGCTCGCTCAACATCTGCTTCCTCTTTCATTTTTATTTGGTTTCAACATTACCATTACACTCAGTTATGAAACTACTGATTATTTCATGACAACATACATATTCCCTTTTTCTTTGACTACAGTACAGTATTATACAATATACTGTAGTATAGACAGTATGATACTGTATTGCAGTGTGTTTCTTTTTTCCTATTTGTGGTTATTCCAGTGTAGCAAAATTCCAACAGGGCTGTAGCTAACCACTGAGGAGACTGCGGTTTTGTCTGAAGTGTGTTTCTTCTGGGAATTTATGGGTTTTATAAACCTAAGGGAGTTAATCTGCAATTAGAAATAAACACATGGCGAGTATTTTATATGCTTTTACGATTCCAGTATTTTGGACTCTGTTCAAATTTGACTTGTTTTAGGCCAACAAAAAAATAAGAAAACAGAGAGAGAGGGGAGATTTCAATCAAATACAGTCTGTACACGCCCACACACAGTGCTGAGAGAGGACATCAAATCAACCAAAAATAATGGAAATCACCTGTGTGGGTATAGCATGGGTATACAGGGCCTCTGAGGACTCAGTGTGTCTCCCACAGAATTTTATTTTTGGCAGTGTAGCGATGGCTTGGAAACTGGCTTGGCAATTA